TCGAACGACCACCTTTGAGGCAACTGAAGATAAAACTAAACATCGGGGCACGGACATAACATACGATATGACACCTGATTCGGCTCGTTCCGTAGGGATTGGTTGAATGCGCCCACCTCCTTATGCCCAGGGTACGGATTCGACAAGATTTCGCACTGAATCAGACCCTCGCCCAGAGACCGTACCCCTTGACACGTTGGCCGAACTGCAATTACGCTCAGTCGGGCCCCCATCTCAGGCGTTCCAACAAAAGTTACTACACACACACACACACACACGCACCCCCATCTCAGGCGTTCCAACAAAAGTTACTACACACACACACACACACACACGCACACACGCACACACACACACACACACACACACACACGCACACGCACGATAACACCGCCTCCCACCTGGTCAACGAAACTGTGTTGCCTCCGCGCCTTTCTGACCTCCGCGCGCTCGAGTGGGCTTGGCCCACGTCGGCGCTCCCGAGCTCGTCTGCCCGAGCCCTGCCAGAGAGCGCGCCTGCCACCTAGCGCTTCTTCGCGCTGGAGGCCGGCGGCCAGCCCGGGGGGAGTGGGAGGGGGGCGGGCTTTCGCAGAAGGCTCGGAAGTCCCCCGGCCTTCTGAGAAATGTTCTAAGCCTTCCCCGAAGACGCAAGAAACTTGTCAGAGGGCCGGAGGGCTTCAGAGAAGCCCTGCCGCCTTCCGAGAGGGCCTTCTCCTCCTCACTTCCACCCCTCGCTCGCCGCCGAGGAGAGCCCGCGGCCCCAGGCAGAGCCCTTCGCCAGCCCCGACGCGCGCGGGGAGCCCCCGGGGGATCGCGGGGAGCCCGCCGGGGACCGCGGGGAGGCCGCGGGCGAGTCCAGCGGCTGGCCCGACGCGCGACTGGGCCGAGCGGGCCGCGCTGGGCTCGCCGAGCGCTCCGCGTGTATCTCGCTGTACCTGTCGGAAACCCACGGGAAACGCACACGCCCATCCACGTACATGAATACGGCCCCCCAGTGTGCGAGGCCAGCCTCGTGATACGAACGTGCGGGCAATGCGTACTTTCGAAACCAGCGTGGATTCCCAGACATGCGACGTTCTGATTTTTTCAACGCGAGGCCCCTGGAAGTCCCGACCGTGTTTCCCCAGGACCGGTGCCCCGAGCCGTCCGCTTCGGGACGGCCCCGAAACCTGGCGAGGGCTCCCCGAGGCCGAAAACTCTGGCAACGGCCTCCCGCCCTGACCCTCTCACGACGCGGCCACGTCTGGGCCCCCGTGCGCGCAAGCCCTTTCTGCTCCCTTCTCCGCCTGGCCCTGCCCTGGTCCGGGCGGGCGCCGCGGGCCGAGGCCAGCGAGGGCCGTCCCGCGGCCAGCGGGGGCCGCCCCGGGGCGGCCGCCGCGGCCGCCGCGGCCGCGGCGTCGGGCTCTGCCGGGCGCTCCTCCCCGGGGCCGGGCAGCCCGGTGCCGGGAGCGGCCTGCGAAGCTCTCGGAGCTCGGGCAGACTGGAGAGCCTGAGGAGGGAGGACAGAGATAGGGGGGGGGGGATAGGCGCAGGGGGGGATGCATCATCGACCTGGAGCCGGCGATACATCGCCGGCAGATCGGCGATAGGCACACGATAGCGAGTCCGCACCTTCCTGGGCGGGTTGGGGCTATCGGGCCCCTATCGGCGATCAATGGGCGATTGGGGGTCGATGCATCCCCCCTATGCCTATTCCCCCCGTCCCCCCTATCGTTGCCCCCGACCTGAACGAACTCCTCCAGCACAATCGAGCCGCTGGAGTCCACGTCCAAGCGATCCAGTAGCTTGTTGATGTCCCTGTCGGGGCACGGCACGTCCAGGCGCCGCAAGCCCTTTGCCAGCTCCTCCCTGTCCAGGACGCCGCCGCCGTCGCGGTCCAGAGCCCCGAAGAACGACGTGGGGTCGGTGATGCGGTTCCCGTACAGGGTCCTGGTGTTGCTGCGGAGGACCTTGTTCAGCTGCAGCACGACCTGCTCGGTGTCGTCGCGAACAATGCCGCCTTCCCCCCAGGCGGAAGGGTACGGCCTGTCCGGCGAAGAGGCGGACTGCTGACCCACAGACTTCCTCACCCTGTCCGCGAAGGAAGTCCTGCTGCTGCTCGCCGCGCGGTCTGGAGAGGCGGTGGCCGCTGCCGCCCTGGCCGCCTCGTCGGCGTCCTCCGCCACCAGCTTGGCATGCCCTCTGGCTCGAGGTGCTTCGCTGCGTGCGTGCGGAGGGAGCTGGGCGCTACCTCCTCCCTGTGTCTCTGCCTCGGTGACCATGATCAGACTGGACACCCTACTGGCAAAGCTGACAGGCTCCTCCAGCCCGCCTGGCAGATCAGCCAGCCCCTTGGGGGCACACGGCTGTGAAAGTGCATGCTGGAGTCCTATCTTGCGTCCTTTGTTCTTTACGTCGTGGCTTATCGCATGTGTCTTGTCTCTCCAGTCCAAGATCATTTGCACTGTCCACGGTGGGCTCGCACGACCAACAACAAAAAGCTAGATCCTTGGGGGCAGATTACCCTAAACAGCTTTCTGGGGACACTGGAGAGAGCACGACATTGGGTATGCTGGGCAACGTGGATCCCAAGCAACAAGTGATTGCACTGATGTGTACGATATGTGGTGGAAGCTAGGTGGAGTAAGCATACGTGGTGTAGGTTATCTATCTAGCGCGCACCGGTCCGCCGGAAGCGCCGTGCAGCATAATGATGTGCAGCGGCTTCCCCCTCCCCGGCCCCCGCCCCCTTCTCCCCACTCGCATGCTTCCCTCGACACAGATCTCCTTCTGTGCTTGTGGGAGTGAGCAAGTCGATCAAAGCTATGTGGTGTAATGCTATGCGGTGCAATGTCTGTGATGTGAGCTATGTGGCGCAAGCTGTGTGGTGCAGGCTGTGTGACGTAACCTCTGTGGCGTAAGCTCTGTGTTGCAAGCTATGCGGCCGCCCAGTCGGCTGACCCACCCAGCGCACGAGGCGCCCACGGGCGGAGACCACTCGAAAACTCGGCTGACCCACCCAGCGCATGAGGCGTCCACGAGGAGCTCACGGGCGCGCCCCCAAAGAGTCAAGGGAACGAGGCCAAGTTTTAAACCCACCCGAGTTCCGATCGCGCCCTGAGTTGCAGTGGGTCTCTGGCTCAACCTCCCCTCACGCTGCGCTGCTGCGGTGGCACGGTGGCGGGATTTGCCGCAGGTAGCTCGGGAACCTTCATGCTGTAAAATAGCCGCTGTCTCCCATTGACGCTCTGGGCCAAATCTGACGGGTCGTTCTCTTGCGCATGGTCATACGTGTTAAGACCCCAGCCAGGTCCATTTATCTTTGGACCAATGCCACGCGTTATGTTTCCTGCCTGCGCCGAACACTTCCAAATGCCTGAAAACATAACGCTGTGGATACAGTTAGATATATCTGGCGAGTCCCACTAGTAGAAGAAGCATGAAGGTAACATGGTCGCGCACTCGCGCGCAACACAATATCACTCACGCAATATATGATCTGGTAAGCATTTCACGTACGAGCATGTCATACTCATGCGAAAAACCGACTGGTCGCTCACAAGTGCAAAACAAGAGCAACACCATTCTAAGAGATGCTCGGAGCGCGCGCCAATGCCCATCAAACGCCATGACCAAGATGCAGGCATGGGCTCATCAACTTCCACTGCCTTGTGAGGGGGAATTAGAGAACGTGTTCATGATACACTCAGCAGTCGGTCGCGAGATGCACAAGTGAGTGTGTGTGTGAGTGTGTGTGTGTCTGTGTGTGTCTGTATGTGTGTGTGTGTGTGTGTGTGTGTGTGTGTGTGCGCTTGGGGGGGGGGGCGCCGGCAGCTCTGAGTGGTCTGGCTTCCTCTCCCCCCGTCACGCCGGGGCTCCTCCTCCTCCTCCCGTGCATTGCGGCCTTAATTTGCATACAGCGTGTCCCCTGTTGCCATTCCGCCAGAGCAGTCAACCTCTACCCAACCGCCGACGCAACAAATATATGTGGGGGGGCGGCGAACGCATGCCTCAACAAGCCGGACTCGCTTTTATACGAGAGGCCAAGTGCCGCGGGCTATGCGGCACTATACCGTGATAGCGACCAGGAACCACGGACAACGACCATGGACCATAGTAGCCCACGACCCGACCAGAGGCCACAGGCCACGACCAGAGATCCTGGGCCGCCGATTTTGAATCGCGCGGGCCAGCCACCAGCCGTAGAAGCGATGGAAAGCACTCTTGCAGACCAAGGGTGCAGGGAAACACCTGCGGGGGGTCCTCGGCCTCCCAGCCCCTGCAGGCTTCCCAGAATTCCAGGACACGCCACCAGACGGCTGCGAGGACCAGGAGACCCCCATGATGGCCCCGAGGGTATCAGTAGCCCAAGACGACCAAAGATGGCCCCAGCATTCCTTTGAATCATCCCGGAGCGGCCCTGTCACCACAGAGAGGGCAAACTTCGGTTGGAAACATTACACAATTGTTCATGTTTTTGCCAATCCCATGTTTTGCTGTCAAGATGCCTCAGGTAGTCAATCCTCTGCCGCTCAGACCGCCCAGGATGGTCTTAATATTTTCCCGAGTGGCCCCATCGAGCTCCCAAGATGACCCGAAGGTGGTCCAAGCGGCCCGAAGATGCACCCCGTCGCAGCCTCCGAGATGGCGCAGAGAGACACTCAAAAACCTTACCAGCTTAGCCGTGAGGGATGGGTTCGCCTTAGGGGCCCGCGGCCCAGGCGCAGCCCCTCGAAGACGGGGCAGCCCTCCCAGGCTCCCCCTGCAGGCTTGCCTGGGCCGCCGCCGCCTCTCGGGTCGGGCGAAAGGGGGGGATAGCAAAGGGGGGGTTTGAGAATCAGCTCCCGTAGCTGATTTTCCCGGCGCCTCCCGGCGCCGGAGGCGGCCATGTATCGAGGAAGGGGCCCCTCGGTGAGGCCGAAACCAGCTGCATGCAGCAAATTTCGTAACCCCCCCTTTCCCAATCCCCCCCTTTCGCCCGGCCCGAGCCTCCGTCGCCAGCATCCCGGAGCTGGCTCTGCTCAGGGACCTGGGCGGCAACTGTCTGGCGCCGCTCGGCTCGGCCGAGGCCGCTGCCGTCGGAGGCGGGCCAGTCGAGACAACGGCGGCGCGCCCGCCCGGCCCACCTCCGCTCAAGCTCGGCCCCCGCGTAGCCCTCCCCGGGAGGCGGGTCCAGCCGTGGCGACGAGAAGCCTCCAGGGGGCCGAAGGACGAAAAGCGCCAGGAGCGCCTCGGCGACGAGCACCAGGGGGTAGGGGGATGGGGGGGGAAGCTTCTTAGAAGGAGGCTGCTTCTTAGAAGGCGGCGGCCCTACATCTGCAGACAAGGCCCGCCCCTTCTATGAAGCGGCGGTGCTTCTAAGAAGCCTCCCCCCCTCCCCCGAACCCCCCCTCCCTCTGCGCGTGCCCGAGCGCCGCTGTTGTCTCGGCTGGCCCTCCTCCGCTGCCGCTGCTGCGCCCGGCGCCGGCGCGAGCCCTGGCGGGGGGGCGCCGGCCCTGCCCGCAGGCTGCTGCAGCTCGGGGGCCACCGCGGCGGGCTGCGGCGCCGAGGCATCGGGAGCTCCGGCCTGGCCCGGCGCGGCTCTCTGCGAGCGCGGCTTGGCCTTGGCCTTGGCCTTGGGCGCGGAGCTGCCGGCGCGCGCCTCGGGGGTCGGCGGTGCGGCGGTGCGGCTCCTGGCGGGCACCGTCCCCTCTGCGGCGGAGGGGCCCATCGAGAGGGCCGGGTCGTCGACGCGCTCCGGGGTCCTCGGCGCGAGCGGCTCCGACCCGGATCTCTCCGCCTCGACCGCGTCGCCACCTGCGGCTCCGTCCTGCTTCGAGAGCCGTGTCTCCCCCGGCAGGGCGGGCCGCACCAGCGTGGTCGACGCAGCACCCTCCGCGTGCAGGCGGTCGAGGATCCTCTGGAGCTCGTCGTCTCTGCAGTGCCCGGGGCTGTCCTCGTCGTCGATGAAGCGCTCGAACTGGCTGAAGCTCGGGCCTGGAGACTCTTCCCAGCCATGCTCGTCCCACCAGTGCCCGGCTGCGTGCTCCGCGAGCCCGTGCCACTGCACGGCCGTGGTGTGGATGCCGAGCAGCTGGGCGAGGTGCAGTTGCTCCTCGGCACCCAAGCGCCTGGCGCCCGAACCCAGAAGCCGGAAGAGCTCCATGACAAGGTCCAGCCGATTTGCTTGCTCCTCCGTCCTGTCCAACGGCCTGTTGACCTCGAAAGCCCACCGCCTCTCGCCGTGTATCTGAGCCGCTTCCTCCGCCTCCATGGCCCGCCGCGCCTGGTCCAGCGCAGTCTGTATCACGTCGTGCGCCGCCCCGTGGGCCTGCTCGAGCCACTCGCAGTTCACTGCTCCCTCGGCGAAGGCCCGCTGAAAGCTCGGATGCTCGACGACCAGGCGGCACACCTGCGCGTGGCCTCCGATCGCCGCGTAGTGGAGCGCAGTGAGCCCCTCGAAGTCCTCGGCCCACAGCGACGCGTCGGCGCCGGGGTCGGCCAGCAGCGCCTCGCACGCGCTCAGGTGGCCGCCGCGGGCCGCGTGGTGGAGCGCGGTGCGGTCGAGGCAGTCGGCGGCGTCGAGGGCCACGCCGCGCGGGTGCTTGAGGAGTCCGCCGCCCCCCCCCCCCCGCGTGATCGGGGGCCAACCCCTTCGTACGTACTGCGCATCGCGAGCGCCAACTCCCGCACACGCGCCACGCGGCTCCAGGCCGCCATTTGCACGGCTCAGCGGGAGGAAGAGGTGCCCATACGGCTACCCCTGCCGCCTCGTGCCGCCCTTTTGTGCCTCCTGGGAGGCTCCCACCGCCACGGCCGAATTCACTTCAAAATTCAAATCAGAACGCACCTCGGGGGAGGTCCTGGAAGTAGCGGCATCGGTACCTTCTTATCCCTCCAACGGCTTCCTGCGCACCGTCCAGGTGCCCCCCAAGAAATGCCAGGGGACAAGGGAAGGGGCGGAGGGAAGAGGGAGGATGGGAGGGTTCTGGAAGGCGCCGCGCAGCGCGTCCGCAGGCCAGCCAGGCATGCCCAAAGTGGCCCCGCGGATCCGCATGGGCGCCGAATCGGGATGCCTCATCTTGGGACTTTGCGACCCCCTGCGGCCATCGCAGACGGCCTCCGTAGTCCTCGAAGACGGACGCGGTGCTCCCCGCACCTCCTCCTCCTCCTCCTCCTACTCCCCCTCCTCGTTCTCCTCCCTCCTCCTTTTCCCTCCTCCTCCTCCTCCTCCCCCTCCCCCTCCTCCTCCTCCTCCTCCTCCTCCTCCTCCTCCTCCTCCACCCGGAGACCCCCGAACGGCATCAAGACATCCCAGGGGCCCCCGCCCCCCTCGGGTGGCCGGGTCGCCCTCACGAGCTACCGAACAGCCGCTCACGAGGCCACGACCAAGGCCTCCGAGAATCGTCGCGACAGGCACCCCCGTTTCTCTCTCTCTCTCTCTCTTTCTCTCTCTCCCGAGCTCTCTCTCCCTCTCTCCCGACCTCTCTCTCTCTCTCTCTCTCTCCCTCTCTCCCGAGGAGTACTCCCCAAACCGAGCGTTCTGCACGCCAGGTCCCATTCCTCTGAGCGAGAACGGGCCCGTTGCATGCCAGTGGTCGGCCTCGCCTTGGGAGGCCCGGGTGTGATGCCTGCTGCATCGCTGTGATCACAGGGCTCTGTCGAGACAGTCGCCTACCCCCCCCCAAAAAAAAAGCGGGCGCCCTACTCAAAAGGTCCCACCAATCACCAATCTGGGCCCTGAAACAGCCCGGGTCGCCGACCCCCCCGTCGGAAGGCTCGACCGCATCGCGGTGATGTCATGAGAGATCTCAGACGAGAGACGCGTTTGCTCTCGCAGTGGTTTGCCCAAGAGGTCTCACCAGCCTGGACGCGAACGGGCCCGTGGGGCACCGCTGGTGGACACCCCTGGGAGGCCCAAGCGAGATGCCTGCTGCATCGCGGTGGTCGTGGGGCCCTGAAGGGACGCGTGTCTGCTCTCCAAAACGGGCGTGCTTACTCGAGAGATCGCACCAGTCTGGGCGCGGGGGTGGGCCGGCGGAGCACCTCCGGTGGACCACCCCCTTGGGAGGCCCCAGCGAGACACCTGCCATATCGCGGTGCTCAGAGGGAGCCCTACTGAGAAACGCGTCAGCTTCCGAATGCGGTGTCCTACGCGTCCCACCGATGTGTGCGCGAACGGGCTCGTGGCATACCAATGGTCGACCATCCCCCCCCCCCCCTTGGGATGCCTGACGGATCGCGATGCCCCTACGTCGTGGTGGTGTGATCACGGCGCCCTGAAGAAAGCGCGTCCATTCTCCCATCTCCCAAAGGGGTGCTGCACCCGAGAGGTACCATCAATCTGGGCGGAAAAGGGCCAGTGAAACACCCCTGGCCGACACCCCCTTGGGAGTCCCAGGCGCGACACCTGCTGCATCGCAACGTTCATGGCGCTCTGAAGAGAGAGAGAGAGAGAGAGAGAGAGAGAGAGACGCATCTACTCCCCAAAGCGGGCGTTCTGAGATGTCCCACCGCTCTGGGCGCAAACGGTCCCGTGCAACACCCCCTGGGCGGCACCCCGTTGTGAGGATCGAACGCGATATCTGCCACATGGCGGTGACATGAGAGGTAACTAAGTCTGAGCAAAGCCAGTTGGTCTTTCTGCAGGGTGCGGAGAACGAGCGAGTCTAATATCAAGTTCGAGTGCGAGTGAGTCTGAACACGAGTCAACCTGAGTATGCTTTTGCCTGAGTGTGAGCGAGTATGAGTGTGAGTAAGTATGAGTGAATGTGCGTGAATCTGAATCGGATTGAGTCTGCGTGAAAATGAGTTTACGCATGTGAGTCTGAGGAAGGGGGGAGGCGGGAGAAAGGGGAGGGGTGGTGCAGAAGATAACGAGACCACATGCACTCAGGATGTGGGCACCCACAAAGTATTCAAATTGGTTCGGATATCCGGAGGTTCTCTTGGGGACCCTCTTGTGGGCGAGTGGGGACGCCTGAGCGTAACATTGGAGCCTCTTTGGCACTCTTGGACTCTCTTGAACTTCTCTCCAGGCCCTCTTGGGACACATTGGCGGACACGTCAACATTGTCCGGGTCTCATAACCCCCTCCTACAAAACTTCGGCAAATCAACCTCAAAAATTGTTGACGCGCCCTTCAGAATCGCCCCTTTTCGACCCTTCAGTGTCGCCCCCGTCAAGGCCGAAACAACAATAAAATCGGGACCTGGGCCGGCGCGACTAGCAAGTTCCACGATGACCGGCATTGGAGAGGGGGCGCCTGCAAGTACCTCACACGCAATGTCACCCACGCAGAGAACATCACACATTATACAAGAAATCCCCTTGCGCACAGGTGAGGTTTCTTTTGACGAGGGCAATTCGTTCCAGATGTTTTCGTTGCGCGCGTTCTCTGTCACAATTAGCTCGCGTGATGCATCAATCTCTACATTCCTGCATCCGCGCAAGATTGCGGATAGCAGCTTCTGACCCAGGCTGCCGCTTGCGCCGACGCGACCCGCCAAGAAGAGCGGAAGCTGTATGATTCGAAACGCAGCAGTTTACCGGGCACGCCTGGACGGCGAATTTATAAAAACTTTGGCCAACACCAACGTCCGACGTCGTTTTTTTCCAATCTGCATATATATATACATACATATGTATCAACGCGGACCCGTAATTACTCAAGGAGGTGTATGGTGTCTTACACATAGGAAAGAACTACTGCTTGTACATGAGCACCAAAAACTACTTGGCAACGACGGGTCAGTCTGGAGTGAGAAAGATCAGTTACTGGTCCGTCTCACTCCAAAATTACCCTTCGTTGTTAAAAGATGAGTACCGCACTCTCCCGAGAGCCGTGGTTGATGTAAACTTACAGTCGGGATGCGCGCACGCCGACACCGCTGACCAATCGATGCCAGTCGGCTCGCCTCTTGCATTCATTTCGCGCGGCCAACCCTCAACTGAATGAGTACCCACCTCTCGCCCTCTAAATGCCGGGAAGAGCGAAACGCGGCCAGGGACAACACGCCTCGGAAGTCCCACAATTACCGACGTTGGCTAGTAGGCGTCTGCAAATACTTCACACGAAATGTCACGCATACCCAGAAATTCTTATATACAAATCAATTACGTCGCGCTCTTTTGAGATTACGTTCGTCGAGGGATTGCGGGCCGTCGCACAGGGATCCAGGGAGGAGGGGGGGGCATTCGAGATGGTTTGTGGTGCTCCTTTAGAGGGGGGGGGGGCGCTCGGCCAACCCGCAGCCTGCGCCAACTTTGGTAATGAAGCGAGGGCGGATATAGGTTCATGGCGCGTTGTTGGAAGCGAGGCTAGACTTGTCCTCAAGGCCACCGTTCTGTTCCCTTTCCTTTTTTATACCAAAACCAAGCACAGAAGAGAGGGCAGAAGGAGACGAAGGCAGGATTGACGGATTGAGGGCAAGAGAAACACGGTGCTTCGAGGTCCCCATGGACGTGACTAGGACTGTATGGTGTAATCTCAGTGGCCATGTCACCGGTACGACGCTTGCCCGAAGGAGACCGCAACAAGCTGGTTAGCTAGGGGCCCAGAACGTAAACTCCCACACGCACGCGCGCGCGCGCCTCCCAACTGATACAACACCCTCTCCCACCCCTCTGTCATCCCCATTCTTATCGTGCTGCTGCTTCTAGTCCACTGTGATCAGGAGTGAAGAAGAAACAACCATAACCGCTGGGCTGAGGCAACCGCTACTGGGCGTCATTTCCGACCCCCGAACGGAGATGGCCTGCGCGCAGCGCCGGGTTTCGAATGCCGCGAGGAATCTACACCGCCGGGGGGTCGAGGTCGTCCATGGGGGGGGCGCCAGGGGCGGCTCGCTCAGCACAGCGGCTGTATTCCTCCATTCTTCTAGGTGGTACGTTCACACCCTACCCCCACTAACCATCGATACTCCTGAATCGACGGGCGGCGGGGGTGAGGCTCGCACTTCGCCACATGCCCGACGAATTGCGAACCCAACCCCCGCCGCCCACTGAGTTGCCTGAACCCTTGATCGGCGAGAGCAGGGCTCGGATTTCGCCGCCGATCCTTCGCACATGACTTCATCCTGGGCGGCGAGACGAGACCAGGGGTGCTGCGCGAAGCGCTCGCGACACCATGCATGCCTCGGCGTGCCCGCCGGCCGCGGCGCTGTGGAGCGCGGTGGCGCCGTCCGCGTCGGTGGCGGCCTCAGCGCACACGGCGGGCTCCAGAAACCCTGAACCCAGACACCCTGCCGTCTCTCGGCGGCGCACATCTGGCTTCCGCCAGCTTCCGCCAGCCTTCCGCCAGCCTCCGCCCGCGGAGGCCGGCTCGTTTTACCTCCGCGGGCTTCCGCCGCCCTTCGGCCGCCGTCCGCCGAGGAGGAGGAGGTGCCAACTCTTTCGATCCTCGAAGGCGAGGCCATTTGTCGAACGTCTGAAAATACGGCCGATTCGTGTCGTGACCGCCCCAGGATAGGACTCTGACATCGCTGTGATCGCTCAACCTTGATCGATCGGCGTCCTTTCGACTGCCAAATCCTTCCATGTTGGCCGATTCCTGGCCGCTGGAGGCGTTCATCCCTGACAAGCTTGAGCCGGGTATCGAGCTATCCGAAGAAAGCGCTGATCGAAGAAAGCGCTGATGGAAACTGCATGCGGCCTCGCTGCTCAGCCTTTCCACACTGCTTCGGCCACTGACCTGGCGCCAGCCTGGTGAGGGGGCAGGGAGGCGACACCTTACGCCACGCAGCAGCTCATCGACTGCAGTTCTGTGAACAGTCCGCTTCAGGAAGCACGACGCAGCGCCGGGCCGAACAGGCTGCATCCCCTCGCGCTCCCGCGCGGCAGTGCCTGCATGTTGCGCCCTGCCACTCTTGGGAGGCGCTCGTATATCCATATGTATAAGTACATACATACATACATACATGCATGCATGCATGCATGCATGCATACATCCATCCATCCATACATACATACATACATACATACATACATACATACATGCATACATATACATGCATACATGCATACATGCAGACATACATACATACATGCATGCATGCATTCATGCATACATGCATACATTTATACATACATACACGCACATACATACATACATACACATATACATACATACATACATACATACATACATACATACGTGCAGACATACAGACATGCATACATACATTACATTACATTACATTACATCACATTACATTACATTCCATTACATTACATTACAGTACATTACAATATACTACATTACATTACATTGCATCACATCACATCACATCACATCACATCACAACACAACACATCACATTACATACATACATTCATATATATATATGCGCTATGGTATGCAGGTCTTAGCCCGAAGCGTGGTGTACATATCTTGCGGAATGTCTCACGACCGCAAATCCACACCGAAGGATGCCCACTGTACTGAGCGCGTTGGCGGTGGCGGGGCGCAGTCTCATGGTCATGTCCCTCTCCCCGAATTCCCTCTGGCTGCGCGGAGGGCACGCCAGCGCTCGTGGAAGCAGGGAGGCGGAGCAGGGACCTGGGTACGGCGTTCGCGGCGGGGAGACAGGCGGGCAGGCAGGGCCGCTCCCAAACATGCGATGTCCTCATCTTGTTCACGAGAAGTCCCGGCCCCCTCCTTGCCGTTGCTCGGACGTCCATTCCCCGTGCATGTTTACGCTTCGTGCGTGGATGTTTTCGCAAGACGCCCCAAGATGCTCCTCGATGACTCCTCGCTGACAAGAGTACACACGTCCGAGCGATGCCAAGCTTCCCCGGGGCCAATGTGTCGTCCCGACCCGCTCTGTTGACGGCCCCTGGCCCGGCGAGGGCCCCACGGGGGCCGAAAACGCTCGGGAAACTCCCGCCGTAATTTTCCAAGGCACGAGCACGCCGGGGCTCGGAGGCCTCCTCTGGCAAAGGACCCCAACATCGAATCGATAAGTCGGATCGGCGCTCGAAATGGATCGGATCGTCGGAAACAGCAGCCGAGTTGGAACCTGATATTGCCACGAACCCCGACCTTGGAGGACAAGTGGGCGTGACTTGCGAGGAAGAGATAAAACAAAGAAGAGGATGCCTATACGGCGGATAATGCTGATTATAATGTTGTCCGTTTGACGCTGTGCCGCTTTAAGGCGCATTATGCTGGTTCCTGTGTTGTCCGCTTGACGCTGTACCACTTCGTCGGGGCGTCGCCGGCCATCTTGGAGCCCTGTTGGGCAGTCTTCGGGCCCTGGGGTGTCTCCGGCCATCTCGGAACCCTCTAAAGCAGTCCTGGGGCCCTCTTGGGGGCCTCTGGTGGCTTCCTGGAGATCTCTTAGAGGCTCCTTGGGGCCTCTTGGGGGCCTTTTGGGGCCTCCTGGGGGTTCCTTAGGCGGAGAACCCAGAATGTCGGTCCCTGCCCCCTCTATGCAACCCCTCTTGGGGCTCTCCTGGGGCCTTCGTAGGCCGCCTTGGAAACTGAAGTAGGCGCGCTGCTGTGAGGATCCGTTGTGCGCATTCGGAGCGTAAGTCCTTGCGATACCCTTTGAAGGACACTCCGAGGGCGATGCACCAGTCTTCGACGGTAATGGTGGTGAGGGCCTGACGCTGGGCTTTACGGGGCTTCCATGTCTGGAGACCCGTTGCCAGAGACGATTCCCAATCGTCGCCATGACTCGCAACCCAATCCGAAATGAAGGCCGGGGTGAGGGTGCGCGGCCAACGAGTCGGCGAAGGCGTGTGCGCTCGGGGGATGGCGATGCAGGAACGTGGCCAAGCGTGAAACACATTGCAGCAGGCGGCCTGGGGGAACGCGCGCCCTGTCGGATCCAAGTGGCGACGGATCTTGGGGGGGGTCCAGGGGAGGCGATGGGGCAATCTGAATGCCCTGTTGGGGGCCTCTTGAACAGCAGTCCGGGGAGAAAAGTAGCGCAGAAAAAATGGTGCGCCTTGGAGGTGAGCTCAGCACGCGACCATGCGGGTGACGAGGTGAGCTCAACACGTTCCCATGCGAACCACCGGGAAGGGGAGGGGGTCGCGGGTTCACATGGCGGGCGAGGCAAGGGAGTAGGAGGGCTCTGGAGGCTCCTGGGGGTCCTCGGACAGCGTCGGAGGTTGTGTCGGGGACGTCTCTGAATGTATGAGAAAGGAGTGGACAACCTGCGGCTTGCGGTGGCCGTATGCGGCCGTGTTGACTCCTCCTGGTGGCCTCCTGGAGGGTTTTCTGGAAATCTGAGAGTTCGCTTCGGGTTCCTCTGTCAAAACTGTCCGGAGGGAAAGGTGGCCCAAAAGACGACGGTGCTTCTTGGATGTGAGGTCAGCACGCGACCAGGCGAGTTACGAGGTGAGCTCAGCACGTGTCCATGCGAGCCACATGGAAGGGAGGGGGTGAGCTCAGCTCGCGACCATGCGAGGCACGGTGGCCTCAGCATGTTTCCATGCGAGCCAAAGGGAAAGGAGGGGGCGCGGTGTCACATCACGGGCAAGAAATTGGGTTTTGGGGCTGTGGAGGCTACTGGGGGTCCTCGGGTTGTTGGGGGTTGTGCCGGGACCACTTCTGAGGAGAAGGTGGCCAAAAAACGATGGTGCGTCTTGGAGATGGGGTCAGAATGCGACCAGGCGAGTTACGAGGCGAGGTCAGCACGTGTCCATGCGAGCCACATGAAGGGAGGGGTGAGCTCAGCACGCGACCATGCGAGTCACGAGGTGAGCTCAGCACGTTTCCATGCGAGAGGGAAGGGAGGGGGCGCGGTGTCGCATGACGGGGGGGAGAAGATGGAGTTTGGGGGCTCTGGAGGCTCCTGGAGGTCCTCGGGTTTGGTTAGAGGTCGTGTCGGGGACGTCTCTGACTGTATGAGGACTGGATTGGAAAACCTGCGGCGTACGGGGGCCGCATGCCGCCGTGTTGAAGCTTCCTGTCTTGTGGAACTTTCTGACAATACTAAAGGCCGCATGGGGCTTCGCTGCGACAGCTGTCCAGCGGGCAAGGCGGGCCGAAGAACAACGGTGCGTCTTGGAGGTGAGCTGAGCGCAGCACGCGACCATGCGACCCACGGGGTATGCGCAGCACGTTTCCATGCGAGCCCGGAAGAGAAAGACCAGGAGGGTGTGATGCTGTGATTCGACTGACACTGTGATGCGCAACGCGCATTTCATTGGTTCCTGTGTTGTCCGTTTGAAGCTGTGACGCCTTGTCGAGGCGCCTCCAGCCGTCGTGGGGCCCTCTTAGGGCTTTCCTGAGGCCCTGTTGGGCGCTTCTGGGGGCTTGCTGGAGACCTCCTAAGGTGAGCTCAGGAAATTGCCATACGAGCTAGGAAGTCTCGGGACTGTCCGTTTGTCGCCGTGAGGCTTTGTCGAGGCACTTCCAGCAGTCCTGGAGTCGTGGGGCAGTCCTGGGGCCCTCTTGGGCGCTTCCTGGAGGCGTGGTGAAGTCTTGAGGCTTGTTGGGGTCGTCCTGGGGGCCTCTTGGGGCCTCCGAAGGTCCTTCAGCCGTCCTGGCGCTCTCCTGAGGGAGTCCCAGGGCTGCCCGTTTGTCGCTCTGACACTTTGTCGAGGCGCTTCCAGCAATCCTGGGATCTTGGGGCAGTCCTGGGGCTCGCTTGGGGGCTTGTCGGGGCTGTCTGGAGGCGTCTTGGGGTCTTGAGGCCTCTTGAGGTCTTCTGGGGCGTCACTTGGGGTCTCATCAGGTTCCCGTGTTGTCCGTTTGACGCTGTGAGGCTTTGTCGAGGCGCCTGCAGCCGTCCTGGAGCTCTCTTGGAGCAGTGCTCGGCCCATCTTGGGCGCTTCTGGGGGCTTGCTGGAGGCCTCTGGAAGGTTCTTGGGGGCCACTTGGGGCCTCTGCAAGAGTTATTTGAGCCTCTTAGGGGCTTCTTAGGAACCTCTGGCGGCCTCAGGAGTGGTCATTGGGGCGGAGAACCCGGAAAATCGGCACCTGTCGCCGCTCCAGGGGCTCTATTGGGGCGTGCCTGGGGCGCTTGTGAGGCTGCCTTGGAGGCCCCTTGGGTCGTCTTGAGGACGTCTTGGGCCATCTGAGCGCTCTCTTGGGGGTCTCTGAGGCTGTCTTGGGGCGTCCTTTGGGGCCTCTTGTGCCGTTTTGGAGCGGCGGGAAGCCGAATAGGCGAAAACCAAACA